GGGCAGTTAGGGTTAAGGAGTGTGAGGTACCGCAGAGGTATACATGTAGTTCAATTGTTGATTTCTGTTTGCTCCATTAAATATTTGGTCTAAAACCTTCCCTGTAAAATTACCAGGGATGTGAAGATGTTTGAATGTGATTTTGATGAGCTGATCACTTCCCGCTTGCTGTTTCAAAGGTGGTAGCAGAATTCCAACAGGTCCAGAAAGGATTGAACACTGTGAAGAATGACCTGAAGATTAATGCTGGTGATGCGAGGAAGAGTGTCCAAGAGCTGGTGGCATCCAAGATTGCTGAGCTGAAACGGAAAGAAAAGGTAAAATGCACATCACGGTAGAGGTTGTTACATGTAGGACCCTGTCTTGGACAGTAGGAAAGGCTGACATGATGTTTCCAAACTTAAGTTTTGATGTAAACACTACCACTTCCAGATCCTCCAATTGTTGGGACTTGAGGGGGCATACAGAGCTGAGTTACTGGTACTTTTGACTGGGCTAGACCCCCCTTTAAAGTTACAAAGAAATCTGTTTACTTCAAATTTGCTTTTGTGCACAATGGAGAAATTTTTGTAGGAATCTGCAAGCTGCCAGCTGAAATGTCAAGGGAAAATTGGGGGAAATGAGCTACCACTGCAAAATTAATCCACAACGCAAGTTCTGAAACAGCTACATCAGACAGCAGTCGCAGGTGGTCTTGTTTCTTGCCTCCCTGCAGTCTCTGCTGGATGAGATTGATCACATTGAGAAGCAGAGGGCTCAGACCATGCAGCAGAGTGAGCAGCAGGTGGCTAGCTTCATCAGCAAGGCGCGCCACTCCTTAGAGGTTGCCCGCAATGCCATCGAGACTGCCACTGACCCAGACTTCCTCTCTCTTCACCCCACTGTGGAGAGGGACCTGCAGAACCTGACAGAAAAGACACCTCCTCAGGTAAACCACCACCCATCTCTCTTCATTTCTCCTCCTAAACTTCATCTCACCTCCCAAGACACATTCTTTTTGGTGAAATTGAAGTTGACATTGATCAGTTTTAGGATGAGCAGGGATATGACATTGATAAATTTGTATTGAGTCCTCACCTGCTTCATATTTCCTGGCCGTTAATTATCCTCCTTTTTTTTTCTCTGGTTGAATTTGAAAATAGTTTTACCTTTGTTCCTCTTTAACCGTATACACATATTTAGCAATGAATGCAAGTTTGAACATATTTGAAAAAATTCCTGAAGACACAAAAAGTATCTGCAAAAGCGTCACCCTGGAAAACAATTCTTTCTGAAAAAAGAGTGAGAGAGACATGATGATAATTGACCCTGGCTAAAGCTTGGTCCATACATGTGGGATCATGGCTGGTTTAACATTCTTGTTTATAAGCTCTCCATTACACTTTCATTTCCTCGTGCATGTATCATAAACCTAGAAAAACATCAAATGTTTAAATGGATCCAATGCGTGATATTTATGCTTTGGGAATAAACTCTTCATTTTCTTCCTCTCAAAACAAATCAACTACACTGTACACAGTTATTCCTTTTGCCAACCTGATACTCTGAGCAGTGATGGTCCTGAAAAAAAGAAACATGGATTTTCCAGTTGTACAGGAATCCACTATTTGTGGATTAAACTCGGTGTAATCTACTCTGTAAATCAACATTTGGGCACTCTGTAACTTCTTTGAACTTCCATAGTTTGACATGCAACTTAATGTGATGTAAACAGAGTTTCTGTATCGTTAGAAGGTTTGAAAACTCTGCTTTAATGGGGGACAATGTTTGTGCACGGAATACAGTGTAAGGAAGATGGTGCAACTAATCAATTTAAAATGATCATTTGAAAATCCAACAGGTGCACCAGAAGCTGTCCTTCTTGAAGTTCACTGGGATGGCCAAGGAGGCTACTGACCAGGTCACCCTGGGACAGGTGGTCAAGAAGGGCGAATGGGACCTGCACATGCAGTTTGGCAAGGAAGGCACTGGTGAGGGTGAATTCAAGTGGGCTCGTGGGATTACAGCTTGCCCCAATGGAGACCTGGCTGTGGCTGATCGCAACAACAACCGTGTGGCCGTCTTCTCAGCTGAGGGCAAGCCCAAGGTCACCATCCCTGCCACTAGTGGTTAGTAACCTTTATTGGGGAGCCTTGAAGCCTTTTGTTAGGCCTACTTCAAGTGTAATTCTCAGGAGCGTAATTCTCAAGATTTACCTGGAGTTTTTTGCCGAATTTAAGAGGTTCATTATTTTTGTTTTGTTTCTTTACATACTTTGTGGAAAAAAATCAAGTGTGAGAGTTACATAATCCTGTAAGTGTAAGTTTTTTCTTAAAGAAACGCATGCCTTTTTTCATGAACCTGAAAAATGACCCCCATTGTTACCATTGCAACCACTCTGTTGGACGTTATGGGGATTTCTTGGCATTCACCAATCTCATCCTGTTGCTGTCACACTACACTTTTGTGGGCGATTGATCTGAGGGACTGAGTTAGAGATTTTGGAGCTGGTTGATAGCCGGTTGTTTCTTACCTGTCAAGGTTAAGGCTGAGTCCAAAGTAAATATAGTATTTTCTGACCCTTGAACTCATCCATGCGCACTTCCTGCTAAAATTGAGGTTGTCTGTCTTGGGAAAGTTCAGACTTTTCTGAAAGTTGCTTGCTTTTCAGTAAAGACATAAGTACCAGGTTCTCTGTGAAGAGATCCCCAATCCTCTAGCAGCGTCCTCAAATTTATGTAAGGCCTTGCCAACTATTTCATTCATTTACTTTCCCATCAGCTGATGCAGTGCAATTCCTGTCTCACTTCTTTTTCCAGCTCGCAATGTTGTGTCAGATTCCAAGAACCGCCTCGTGGTCATCGATCGTTCCGGCTTTGGTACAATTTACAATGCTGAACGCAAGCAGGTCCTGCAGTTCCCTGTGGCACCGAATGACCCAAGCACGGTGGTGGATCCACGCTGTGTGGCCATTGACAAGGAAGACAGAATCTACATTGGTAAGTGACCCACTGTTGTGCAAACCTCAGTCCAAATCAAAACAGAAAGCATAGAATCTAGTAATACTTGCAGTCTCCCCTGAGATATTTTTTTAAATGTCAGAAAACTACCAAAAACTGAAACTTCAATCTTTATAGGAGACCTGCATTTGGGTTTCTCTAGTGGCTGCATACGTGATTTCTTGATCGCTTGTTGGTACCCACATCGAGTCTTAATACCTTAATGGTTGAGTGGTTAATGCATGTTAATGTGCTAGGTCAAGAATTAAATAATTTTCCCAACAAGCTCTCAGAAATCCACTGCCCATAAAATGAAGTTTATACAAAACCAAATCCAATAATTAACATTTATTTAGGTGGCAGGCAAATGACATTGTGCTAAGAACCATTTGAGATCGATCGTGGTTGGGGAGAACCAAATCGAAATCTCCTCAGCAGACATTTTGACATTTGTCTTGTTTGTATTTTGGCAAAGATTTATTTCCTTATTTGTTCTCTACCAGCCACTTAATTTCCTTACAGATCTCGCATCTCCTCTAGCTTTTCAGATCATCTGTCCATATCATTTCCTCCATGTCCTCCTTGGTGCAGTTGCTATCTTATATTCAACCTGTCAGCATTGTTTTCAGTCAGGTCAAAAAGTTAAGAGGTCATGTGTGGAGCAAGCTTGTTAAAGTGGTCTCACGACCTTCAAAGTAGTACTATTGAGTTGATATCAGTGGAGGGCGGTGCTAGACCTGTTCACTGATTTCTGTGTTCTGCTTCCTGCGTAGGTGATTTCACCCGCCAAGTCATCAGCATCTACAACCCCAATGACGGCAAACTGGAGCGCGTCATCCAGGTCAACATCAAGCCCGAGTTTATCGCCGTCTCCAACAAGAACCTGGTCTTGATCAGCAATGCCGACGAGGCCAAAGTGGTGGCTGTGGACCCCCTGGGCGTCAAAGGTAATGAGGCATTCGCCATCGATACCACCTTTGATGGGGAGAAGATGAAGCCCTCTGGTGTGGCAGTGGACACCAACGATGAGATCTACGTGGCTGGCTACCTTGGCTACGTCAACACCGGCCAGATCCACCACTTCACCAACCGCGGCAAGCACATCAAGTGCGTCTCAGACAAGCAGTATATGCCCCAGGGTATCTGCTTTAACAACAAGGGCATGATGGTTATGGCCAACTACCACTCGGTCAGGGTTTTCAACATGGCTTAAGTTGCACACCATTGCCCTCTGTCAATTGCAAGCCATTTCCCATTGACGCATGTGTTAAGTTGCCACAGCCTGTTGAATCAAAAAGCTGTGTGCATTAAAAGGATCAGAAACAGACTTGTAGAAAAGGATCATGGGTACACCAAAGGTTTGGTAACTTTCAACTTGTGTACATATAGCCCTAACCCCTAGACATTTTGTTAACAACTTCCCAAGACCAGCAATGCTTGTGAAGGTAATGACACAGTCTGGAAATTTAACATTCACATTACATGAAGCCCCAATCGAAGTGACAATGGCTAGGCACTTAATATCTAACCCTTCAAAGACTATCCAAACATCCACAGTTGATTTTCACAGATATAGGTTAGTTGCATTTAACCACTACAGAGTGATCACAACTAACAATGCTTTCCTTAGAGGGGTAATTTACTGTATCACCTCTACATCTGGCAAAAACCTTTCATATGTGCCATTGTCCATTGTTGCAGGGATTGCCAGGTTCTGAGTATTAGGCGATTCGTGGGTCTTTTACCCTTTCGGTTTGCAATTTTTTTTCTGTTGCCAAATAAAAAGGGCAAGCCAAAACAGCAGGTGTTTTGCACACATGGACGTTTTGATTTCATTTCAGGCAGCTTATGTATCATGTATTTTGTGGCATTGCGCTTTACTTTGAAAAATACTACTTGTAGACTTAATTCATCTGCAGTTGATCTTTTTCAGAGCTGATGTTAAAAAGTCTGAATTAGATCTGCCAAGTTCAGCTGGATTAGAAAAGTGTATTCAAGTGTAAGTGGAAACTATCAATTTAGCCATGTGTAAAATACAACTTGGGGTTTCACCACAATTTTTGTAAGGTTGACGCCCCTTCTAATTGATTACAGTTACATTGTACATGTATTACAAAAAGTGGCAGCAGTGGTTCTTTTAATGTTTCAATGCTCTTTTAATATTTGAATATGATGGCACTTAAGTTTTTTTCTCTTGGGGAGTTACTATTGAATGAATTCTGCCAAGCTAATACCGGCAGATATTTTGAGCTCTCAAAATACTTTGATTCTCTACTCTTTATACCATTGAGTTACCTCTAATAGCGCTGTCATTTACAATGCTGCCTCGTTTAATACTTGCTACTACACTACTAAAAAGAAAAGTTAAGGATCACTTTTTTCTGAAGTTGTATTTTTTTCCAAGCAATGAGTGGGGTCTAGTTCTTTTCATGTTTTTCTTTGTCTGGATGGTGTTGTCAGTGGAATAGAAAAATGTAAAAAATGTTGCAAAACATCAAATGCACATTTTCATCCAGTAAGATATCTCATATAAAAAAGTGTACGCAAAATAAATAGTGGTCCTTAACTTTTTTGAGTAGTATTTATATATAATAGCTGTAATCCAAAGACTGTGTACTGTATATTTAGGTTGTTTGGCCATCGGTAGTTTTAGTTTAGACATGTTGATATATCGTTATGTTTCTGTTTCAACTTGAATTCCAAATTCAGTTATACGTACTAAATAAGTTGTACTGATTAAATGTATATTGGTTGAATAATTGAAAGAATACACCGTAGCTGTATTGTACCAAAGGAAGTAGTAAATCATATTCAGCATTGTAACGCTTCTGGGACCTCTACAAAGCATCTCTTGAGCAATATGCACGTGCAAACTCAAGCTATCAGTGCGAAAAAGATATGCGCTTATCTCGTGAAGCAAAACTGTAATTTGGTGTTAAAACTGAAAAGTGAGAGATTGGGCACAGCAGGGTATTGGGGTAATTGAAGGCAGCGTTTTAAGCTTTTTTTTGGCTTCACGTGTCCTGAGATTTTCCAGGAATTTAAAAATGCCCAAAAAGAGATAGAGAGGTTTGTGAAGAGACGAAGACCAGAAGTACTTCAGCTTTTGTAGGTAGGATGTTGGTCTGCACAGTGTCTAGTATGAGTGAAATAATAAGTAGGAACTGAATTAGTAACATTTACATGTATATATGATAACGCCCGTGATATTCATGGTACAGCCGACTGAGGTACGGAATTAGATTAATCAGTAAGTAGTTTCTTGCTGGATATATTTTTCCTTTTTCTTTTTTAAATTTCATTTTCTTTACTTCTTGAGTGTGTGGGGTTCAAGCAATTTGAAGTGGGGAATTTAATGCTCGGAGCATCTTAATATGGACTGAGATGTACATATTTTCAGATTCCTTTCAGAATTATTTCAGTAGTCATTACACTCGAGAGATAAACTCCATTGTTTCACTTTTTGAGGTGTGTGGGTTTTCGATTAAAAATGATCATAATGTAGTATTGTATTCCGTTACTATGATTCATTAACCAGTCCTAATATTTTATCTTTACAAGAAGCAAGTTGTGTATGTACAGAATAACATTGTTTTAGACTGCGGTTAGTCATTGTAGTTGCGAATAACGAGAGTGTACAATAAACTTCGTGACCTTTATAATCCCAATATTACAGTATCACCTTTTCTTTGTGTTAATAGATTGAATTTTCCTTGTGCTGTGATGTTTATGTGTAAAATGATGTGTACATTGGCCAGCAAAAGGTCACTTTGTCCATTCAGTTCCGCTCAATTTTGTTAGGACATTGACTTCAAAGAAAATCTACGTGTACACCTGCCGGTTTGCTCATATCATCGCCCCTGAAAAAAAAGAGATCCCCCGGATGAGCAGCAAAGAAGCGCAAAATGCACGCCCATATTTGTTGATTGGCCATTTTGTTTTTAAAGTGTTTCGTTCATCCAGGAGTAGAACATTTCATGTGGGCTTTACAGGTGCGGATGACATTTCTTTCACAAATAGCTTTATCCTAAATTCGTTCCATCACTTTGGCTTTGTTTTTAATCTGTTATTGAAGAAAAATACAATGGCTGATATGCTCAAATGTTCAAAGTGTTAGAACTTCTGTTTTCTTCCTGTTACACTTTCGATTTCGTTGAGCCTATTTGCTCAGCGGCACTGCATTTTGTCGTGCCATCGACGTACACCCTGCATGATTTGACATGATTATTGACAAGCTTGTCTAAGCGCATCGTATTAAATGAACCCTTATGATTTGTTGTCGGAAAATCAGTAAATTTGCCTGCTTTGTTCATGTTCAGCACTTCATAAACGATAGCCCCCTGCCCCCATTGGATACCCCACTGCCTTTAATCATGTCAAACCCTGCGTGGCACAGACGAGTTATAGAGGGGTGTGGAAGAATCCGCCCCTCCCGAGGCTGTTACCATCAAACTAGTCTCAGAGTTAAGTGTTCGCAATATAGGTATGCTTGCGGACAAAATGATGTACTGTGTATAAACCTGGGCTTACATGTAGAACCATTGACCCATGACCACACGCTGATCCCTTCTGCAAATTAAAATTTCGGGAGGGATGGGACCAGCATAATAATTAGCAGCAATAAAATGCACACAGCGGAAAGACGAACACCGTGCACATAACCCCGATAAGTGAGACTTTCCTATTCAAAGTATCCGAACAATTTTTTTTACGAGAGTGCTCATATACCAGCACTGAATTTGCATAGGACAAGTTTTGTAATCTAATATTGGCTTCAAAGTTTCGCTTGATGCTTATTGATGTTAAAGAGCACCTGCTAGTGTAACATTGAAACGGGTTACTATTTCATGTATTAATGTCCTAGGTGATACAGGATATGTCATCCACAAGAATTAGTTCAAGTACATATGCTTGCTTTATTACTGTTTCAGAAAAAATTCATATGATTCCTATTCTTCTACCAGCACGTCTCGTCCCCTCGCCATATATTATTGGGTGAGCCACGTGCATGAATCGCCAGACCGAAAAGAACCTTAGAGGCTAAAGCAAGTTTTCAATCCAATCGGACATGTGCCTCCACAGATATAGTGATTTAAAGAGTGCATCTTTAAAGTCCGTGACTTGTCACCTAATGACGTCATCATTAAACGACGTCAATTTTCGTCTACAACACTTAATTCTCTAGCTACTAGCAAATCTTCAATCCCGTCACAAATATACTTCAGGAGATATATTGCTTTGAAGAGTGCACATTTAATGCCACGTGAATTGTCGGCTGATGCCGTCATCATCACACGGGGTCAAGTTTCTTCTATCATACTTCCTTTTCCGGCTACCTGCAAGTTTTCAACCCACAAATGTGCCTCCACAGATATAGTGATTTAAAGAGCGCACCTTTAAAGTCCGTGACTTCTCACCTGATGACGTCATCATCACATGAGGTCAGGTTTAAACTTTAAACATTCAAATTTATTAAAAAATCACATGATTACGTCATTATGACGATTTTGTTCCTGGACTCTCTTAGGGCGTTGTGCTAAGAGTGTGGACCGAGTGTCAATTCAGTCAGATCGAGAACAGTGCCAAAGTCTGGCTGTTGAAAAATGTGTAAAAACCTATGGGCAAAATGAAATGTTCAAACATCTATAATTCATCGTGTGATGACGTCATCTTAACAGATTTAATTCTTCTAGGACCATCCTTGGGGTTGCACTGCACCAAATACACTGCCATAGAAAGCAGTGCAAATGTAACAGGGAAAATGGTACGCTATGGGGAATTCGCAAAACGACAAACAACTCTAACTAAACCAAGGATCTTTGAAGGAAAAGTTGCAGGAAACTGAATTAATAAGGACTCAGACACCAATATATGACTTTAAAAAAAGGGGACCAAAAATAATTTATTAATGAAAAAGTACAGGAAAAATGCCAAAAAAAAATTAAACGGACTCAAGGACTACCCAAACACTAAGACTTTAAAAGACTCAAAACCAAAACCCAACACAGTGCGTAAAATGGACCTTATGAGTTTACACTCAGACTTCAATCACTGACTCCTAGCAGAATAGGACTCAAGCAGAAAACCACACTCCAGTTAGGAGGAACAATACATAGGTACATGTGAAGGTGACTGGTCTCTGCTGATCTGCTACACTGAGTGTGACCAGACCATGTGGTAACTCTATATGGGGGAAGCTAGGGCTTAAACAAGTTAACAGGGGTGCACACTACTAGAAAAAAAAATCAAGAACTCTAAACTAAAGTTAAAATTTTTAAAGGGGAACTACTTCTATGTAAAAAGGTGTACTTAATAACATAAACATTTCTGGCTCTGCCACACAAACCTTGGCCGAAATGTGAGTCTCGGAAAGAGGTTGGCCTCCGGTTTTTCACTGGAAATTCAAGATTATGACCAGAAGTTTACTTTCCGTTTCATTTATATCCCGATTAGCTCCGCGATTTTTTTTCCTTTTTCCGAAGACACCCCCCAAATTAGTAGTAAAACTATAGGCGCTCAGCTCTGAATGTAGCCGCCCGCTTCTCGTGAAAGAGATCGAACCACTTGGTGGAATATTCACCGTTGGATGATTGTGTAAAGGTCAGCCAAGTCTGAAATACACCAAGATGTATAAAACTACCAGAGTCGAGGGTGACAAGAAGACGTGTACAAAGCCTATGGTGAAAGTCTAAAAGGGGGAGGAGAGCTCATCTGTCATTTTGCCAACATAACAGAGGTGTCTTGTCCACTCATGTGTACATTTGAGCCTCATATGTCACGTGACACCTGATGATGTCATTCTGACGATATTGCTCTGGGACCATCTTCACGTCGTGGACAAATATTAAATCTGCGTGATATGGAGCTAAGGTGACTGTAAGGTCACCATATTCCTGAGGTTTTCCTCCCGCCTAGACCTCTAAAACTGTAAATGATTCTCATTGTCTCATCTCTAAAGGTCTGTAAAACGCTTGCGAGCTTATTTACAGTGCCTAGGGCCGCTCAACACGACAAGAACAAGAACAGCAATAATTTAACAAGAAGAAGAACAACAACAAGAACAACATCAAGAAAAACTGCAACTACGGCACCACCACCATCAACACCACCACCACCACCACCACCACCACCAACAATTAAACAACAATAACAACAACAACAACAACAATAATAATGATAATAATACTAATACCTCAATGAGGAGCAGTCAGTAGCAGTTGTTTGGCTAATTAACGTTTACTTTTGTTTGTGATGCCTTTATGCAGAGTGGATTCGGCGATTTTTAAAATAAAAAACACCGCATTTAAACGAAAGAATAAAATGTTAACCTCTTATCCAGATGATTTGCAGTATCAAATTTCCCCCAGTCAGGTTGGAGGTGAAATTGCATTTATGCATTAAAGCTCAAATCAATGTCTTGTTTGTTCAGAGTTCAATCATTGCACAAAAAGACAGCTGCGCATCCAGGGTTGATATTTGAACGAAATCAAAAGTACAGTAACCTATAAGGACGAGGCAGTGGACATGCTTTTCATTGTATGCGTAGCTTTTCCATGAACAGCGACCCCAACGGCAGAAGAGAGATGAATCCAAAAATGACAAATGCCTTGTCGTAGCTTCCAGTCTGGTCAAATATCCAACCTGAAAAGTAAGCAAAGATTAGTCAGTGTGTGCCACCAAGAGAGAGACGAGGGGAACTTTACCTATAGTTTTAATTAAACAAGGGGTGTTTGTCCTTCATTGTCCTTCACTCCCCCCTCCCACCGACACTCAGGGAAGGATAACTTCCTGTCATAAATTTCACGAAAGAAATGCACGTACATCAACATTTAAGGACGGTCATTTGGGGTTAGTTTGTTGTTCCAATCCAGACATGAATATTCAGAAGGCAGGTGTCACGCGCAAGCGGAAGTGTTTATCCATATTATTGGTCAAAGGAATTTAATTAATCCAGTGAATTCTAAACAAAGCCTCGTCAAGTATCCCTAAGGAGGGCAGGTGTTTTCCCACACCCATTTGAAAGCTGACAACAAACTTTTATCTAAGTGTTCTCTCTGGCTCTTTACCGTCAACACAAATCACGCTCCGGTTGTTTCAGACCAACTTTATGTAGCAAGTGTAACACAAACAAAAATCACTGACCTATCCTGATTGACAGCAACTATAATTTCATGACGAAGTGCATTTTTGCAACATTTACAGGGAACGCCAGTTGCAAGCTAATGTGGCTTGATTAGTAGAATGCCTAAATTAGTGGCACACTCCAGTACTCAGCTGAAGACAGAGTCCACAAGAGGTAAAAAAGGGCCAAACTTCGTTCAGGACAGAACTTCACACTTTTAAATACAGCAGTAATTAGAACTGAGCTGAAAATAAAACCTGTCCGTCAAGTAAAAAGATTTCTTGTGCTACCTTAAAACCTCTTTCCCCCCATTGTTTACACTGTAAATACACTTTTTGGTGTTATCAGATGACCACACCATACGGTGTTACCTCAACACCGCTGGTGTTACTTTGCACATCTTTAAGTGTTGCAATACACCGGAAGGTGTTAACACCAAATAACACAAAAAATTAACATCAATGAAAAGTGTTGATGTAGTCCCCTGAAAATACCGGGGATGTTCAAGTTAGCACCTCCGTGTTTGCAGTGTAACACGTATTGTTGAAATATTTCTTACCAGGGAAGAATCCGCAAGCGATTTGAATGATGGCCGTCACCAGGTCCATCCAACTGAAAGTGGACACTAGGTCTTCAGCTCCAAGTAGCTCCCGAGTGTAAATGTCAGTCAATGATGCCTCTGCTCCAACGAAGCCGTTGAAAATGAGGGCGTTGGCCATTATCAACCAATAAGAGTTCAGCCAGGGAAGTGTAAATTGAGTGAAGCCACTTATCAAGATTGAAATTAGCAAGGCCAATCGCAGCTTCAGCCAACCTCGGTCTACCACCAATCCTGCAAGGATCTTGAAAATCAGGTTGCCTATCCCCCCGGCCGTGATGAAAGTCACAGCCTCGTACCCAGAGAAACCTTTCGATTCAGCGTAAGCGACAAAGTATATCAACCACAGACTGCTCACGATCTGGAATTCAGCGTAAACGAGCGTCGCTGTCCAGAATGCGAGGCGGCCGCAAACCCCACAGCCAAAAAGATTCCCCTGAACCTTTATGGCGTCCATCAGGACGCGGAGTCGGGATTTCCTCCGAGGATTAGGGCTTTTTGACTCTTCATCTGATGGTTCCTCTACGCTGGAGCTGATCGGTAGGTAGTCGTGCCGCACCTCTGCAGGTGGTGATGGTGATCTCAGCAGGAAGCCACACACACCAAGATGCATGCTGAGAGCCCCAAGAAGTAGCAAGGCACCTCGCCAGCCGTAGGTGTCTAAAAGCAATTGAGTCAACGGGCCAATGAAGATTAGGCCCACGGAGTATCCTGCAGTCGCAACGCCATTCACTGTCGCGTAGTTTGTGGTGAAATGTCGACCCATCATGGCTCTTGACAAAATATTCGAGATCATCAAACAAGGCCCTTCAAAAATAGTCAAAAGAAGGCAGTTACAGAACTTCACGTTGAGGCTTGTTCGAAAGTCAACAATGCTTTCAATATTTTTGGAGGGATCCCTCGTGCAGACTCATAACTTGATTTAAAGTCTAAATCATTTGGAACTAGGCCCTGCGTGGGACATGGTCACAACAGCAATAACTGATTTCATTGACCAGTGGCAATGGAATTATTTACATGGACAATGATTTAATGTGATGCTATTTTTACGCTGCCGCTAGAGCTACAGGTAACGGAAAAATACCAGTAAGGCCGACATTCGTTGTTCGCCCGAGGTTCGCTCGGTCGAGTGTAATTTGCGCCTGCGAATTTCTGATGTCAAGTGACAAGCGGCCGAACAATACTTTGCAGTCGAACTTTACCGTCACAACAGCAAGTGCGTGCTGACTTACGACTGTGCATTCACACTTCTTGTAACCGGTCATGAAAAACGAATCATGCCTCGCAAAGAAAAAGGATGGCTACAGCTGTGAAGCCACTGTAATTCGTCGATGATTGTTACTGGTTAGCTTGACAATAAAGGCCAGGAAGAAACAAAAGTACGTACCAGCGATTAAGGCTAAGGCAAGTGTCATCTGGATTGCAGTAAATGTGAAGGACGAGACGATGACAGACGCCCCTAGGAGCAATCCGCTGACTGTGACAACGATACGGGTACCAAACATTGCCTCCAAAGGCCTGGAAAACGGACCTGTTTAGGAAAGATCAATTTTTCAGCAAGAACCAGTAACAAAATAATTTCTTAGCTAGATTTATTAATTTAGAGAATTATAAGGTCGTGTATAAGGATTCCAGTGGACTGAAAAATAGAACTCGACTCGACCTTATCAGCTGCACAGCGATCGAGCCAGCAACGACTATCCCTAGCATATTCAGCGAACGCATTATACCCGTGTGTACAAGCCTAGTTTGCAAAAAACTAGCGTACACTTCCAGCATTCGCCATCCAAAACTAGGAAAAACATGCATTTGGATTTTGACGAATTAATAAGAAAAAGGAAACTCCCAAAATCATTTTGAATTAACAGACATTTGATGCAAAGGTTTATATGAAGGTCGAGAAAAATTATTTGGGATCAAATACAGTGATTGATCTATCGCCCTATATTTTTTTTCAATTTCTTTTTGGCTTCCATGATTTTTGACAAATCGTTTAAGTGCGAATCGGAAATCTAGCCAAATTTTTTTTCCAGAAATTTTCTTAGATTAGATTTTTTACAGCATTTTTTTGAAATCAAACTTTGTACAGCATGAATCTTACATTTTACTCTTCAAACTGAACTTGTCTAGGAATGTAGTACTGTAGAATAGCACACAGAATGTAGGCTTAAATCTCAAGCTATCCGGAACTAAAACAATCCTGAACTGGGAAAACGACTGCATAAGAGCCATTTAGTCCGTTCAAGTTCCATATGTCCCCGTAGTACATTTCGTGTTGCAAATCTACACTCTTTTGTCTACACGTATTGACCACTGTTTTGTATTTGGTGCCAACACTTTCAAAGAATTCATCTTTTTTTGACAATAACCTTTACCTCACAATGAATCATTTCTACTTTACTGGTATTTGAACAGGAGATATTTTCTTTTTTATTATACAGCAACATAAAGCAAATACCTGCGACACTGCCAACTCCAGTAACAGTCGCTATCAATCCACCAATCATCCATGCCTCTGCCGTGAATTGCTCTTGAAGCGTCGGCAGCAGTACCCCTAGACCTTTTAGGAGTCCTGCCCATAGCAGCCAGTCGAAATGGACACAGAGGACGGCATACCAGCTTGCGTTCCCACACCGGACTCCCATCGTAATGATTTGCCTTCCGAAGTGTGTTACCCGCCCGTATAAATAACACCGCACCAACTAATGATGGACGGGCGCCTCAGCTTAAAGCTACATTGTGCTAATGTCTCTTTGATTTTGCTTGTTGAGGTGCTACTCTGTTGGGATTAAAAACTCTGAATAAATCACCATCATCTGATAGGTGAACAATATACAATTGAATATTTCCATCCAAAGTACGTTATATTAAAACCATACAGTAGCTCTTTTAGTCAATAGATAAATGCACTCTTTAGCGCTACTCATGGTTGTCAGCAGCTGGTGATGTATATTGAGAGTGGACAATTCAGTTTATTTGTTGACAAAGAGGAAACATTCCTGAGCACTTTTAAATTCTCAAAATACAGAACTTACAACATAAACCATTACCGACAGAAGTATTATTTGGAAGTTACACTGGAAAAAAATTGGGTGTTAAATTTAATATCCCGGTTTATCAGAGGACTAAACCATTACTTTTCACTGGTGTTAAACTTTTGGTGTTATTTGGTGTTACTTTTAATGGCCTCCATTGCATTAAAACACTTATACTGTAGTTGTGGAAAGTAACACCGACGGTGTTAAAGTAACACCCTCTGGTGTTGTCATCTGATAACACCAAAAAAGAGTTTATTTAAGTCTTTGCTGAGTACAAGTTTGATTCAGCATGTTCACTGAAGCAGTTTATAAATAATTCAGAAAGCAATGAATGTGTTAAGTTGTGCAATGGAAACAAATGTATTTATTCATTTATTTTAGGTTAAATCTTTGGACATAAACGGAAAAAAAATCATCGTTGGCAGGGGCTGTCCAGTGTAGGCCAAAAAAAAAAACAAAACAAAACAAAAAAACACTTTGTCATCAGAAGATGACATGTGCCATCCCAAACCCCTGGTAACTGTAACAAAGTAAAAATGTTTATACAAGTCAATTTATAAATGAATAAAATAATAGACTGAGAACAAAAAGCAGAACGTACTGCTGAACAATCAGTATGGGAAGACAGAAAACAACTTTTAAAAACCAAGGAAAAAAAAAGAAATTCAATTTAAAAATGCATCTAAGAGGTGAACAGGAGAAATTCTTTTATTCGGTGACGGCTGTAAACACACAAATTGTCCCTACCACTCCACCTAGTTTTATTTATCATTTGTACTGCTTGATTTGAGTAAATAGTAGAAAAAAATAATGCAATTGCAGTCTCGTTCTTTGACTGGCAATTTAGAAACTGAGAAACCGAAGCAGTGAGGAACCAGGTTGAAACTTTCCGGTCTACCGCTTTTGGGTGAAACATAATGAGTCTTTAACGACAACAATGCACAGTGCCCTCGTTACACATTAGCTCAGCGAGTTTGCTAGTGAGCCAACGAGTGAAACACTTTGTGGTTTTGTATAAAAAATGAACTAAGTAGCCGCCACAAGACACCATCTCAATCAAAAAGGGCATTGTACTTGTATGAATTCAAGGGAGAATTTATTGTATTTTTTAAAATTGACAATACATTACATTTAATAACACAAACAGAGAGCAGTAAATACATAAGATACCTTTGATTCTGGAAAGGTTTTGGTGTAATTTTGAGTCTTCAAAACGATTTGTAGCCTATGTGTTAAATATTCAACAGCTAGCACGTCCTAATGAACGGTAAAGCAGATCTCTGATTCGATTGATTCGGCTCTGTGTTGTCTCTTCTGGACTGACGTGAAATGTGTCGCACGCAAGGAAACATATTAAATTAAATTAAATCAAAACTACAACCACAGACAGACGGTTGCATAATGTACAGCTGATTCTTGTTATTCTTAACTCTGCTATGGTGAAATTTCTTTTAAACAAAACTCATACCTTTGGTCGAAGAGAAAATGTAAATACAAGTATGTCAATGGGGAGAAAATCTATCACAGCAATATCGCTTAGTAAACTCCTTTCACAACGAAATATGTCTTTAAATTTGTGACTTGGTTGCGTAGTAAAGAATTGTTGATGACCTATTTATAAAAAGTGTTTACAGATACCGGATCATACAAATTAAAAGAGAAATAGTCTTCTTTATGTGTATCTCATAGTCATTAATCTAGCCATTGTTGAATCTATTCACGTTCAGGCGGTAATTAGTTGCACTGTGCATTGCTGATAATTGCCCCACTGTACTTACAACTGCGACCAGTCATCAAATACACCGTTTACACATCCCTGTACTCCACGCCACGTGCGCAGTGCTGAAAGGAAATCGTTTAAGAGAAGCAACAAGTTTTACAAGGACTTTCCTAGTTTTAAACCTCCGAAAGCATAACATTGATTCTGAAAACCCTATTAAGCTACCGACCTCCTGCCCCGTTTAGTCAATTTAAAAAGAAAGAAAAGCCATAAAAGTTTCAAACACTGAAACCCTGTTATGATTAGAAACAGTATACAAAATTGCAAAATGCTAAATCAAACGTCTCTTTTGTGGTCTCTGTGAGAGAAGAAAAGAAGAATTTACTCTAGCTTAGCGCTCAAACTATGGTCAAAAGCAACGAATTCCTGCGTTACGAACCCGCTTAGAATTGATCACCAACATGTTGTTGCAAAGCCAAATTATTCATATGGCAAACGATTCCAGATAGGGGAACCGTCACTGGCTGGCTTTAACTGGCTGGCTTTTGTGCTTGGGTGGTGTACAGTTAGATAGACGTCATAAGCCTTTTGAATAACATCTGGTACACTAAGTTAGCCAATTGCACATAAACATAAACATAATTTGAATTCCCCAGACTAAAGACATTGTGATTCGGGGCAAGCTTTTGCACAGCGACCACCATCTCTGGAATAGAATGGTTCCTATGTGCCCTTCTTATCCAAACAGTGTATCAAATTCAAACTGTTATGTTCACGGGAACAGATGTCAGTGTATCAGATTTCATTCAAATTTAGTCTGCGAAAGGCTTTTTGTCCAATCACGCTTAAGTTATGACATCACACTCCTTACGCAGTGCCAATTGAGCACAAAGAACGTGTACCCCTGGCTTCCAACGTGCCATTTGAGAGCTATCCAACCCGGCGTAAGGGCGCCATCACTATAACATCTATTTGAGACTTGTCACCCGACGGCAGGTGGGCATCGATTGATGTGGTAAATAGCGTTTGTATGCGGCGCATTACTACATTTTCACGCATCTACGAAAAGACACAGCTTAACTACTCTTTTCTATGAGGAAACGCAGCTGGAGCTGGGGGAAATAAAGATGTTTCGCAAAAGTGTTGGCAGTTAGTGACTCTGACATGTTGTTCATCAATGCCAGCGAAACAAGCGCAGAATTCAAGTCACTATAAATACTTTTTGTGTTTCGGGTTGAGTCATTGTGCGGCTTATGGTAGAGACTCGACTCGAGGGGAGTGTAGTTACTCGAGCCGAGTGGTGTCATTGTAACATTTACTGACTTCAGTTGAATCAAGTCATTAGGCAAGAAGTTAGTCAAATCGAGTCAAGTACATGTAGGTTGTTTGAATCAATTTCAGTCACAAATATTTGAACTCAATACAAAAATATAAACATTCTTGGCATTTTGAATTGCACCTCTTGGTACATCACCTGGTAACAACACAAGACAGAAACATCAAAAACCTGCACTGTAAAGTTTTGCAAATGTAATGTAACAATTTATCGTCGGTAAAGTTTCAAGATATTTTATCGATTTTGGAATCAACTTGAAATCTGCTGGTGTTTATTGTTATATCTGTTCTTGAAACATACTCTTTGAAGATATAAGTGACATGTTGAATAAATATCAACGTTACAAATATCTTAAAGTAACTTTAGGGAAGTTTCGATAATATTTACAAACTTTTAATTTGCGAAAGAGGTATTTCAGTACAAACCATTGAAACCCACATCTTCACATTTCAGTTTCTGCCATTTTTTGATACACTGACGAAATGCTCTTCAGAGGCCCCTAACTATAAATAAATTACGTTAGAAATCACACAAATATTTTCATACGTTTGAAAGATGCGAATGTTTGCAACATTTTTAAAATGTTAAGAATTTGAGTGAGTGTTGTGACCGTTGACTGATGTTGTATGTAGGTATCGGTTGTTCTACGTTGTAAAAATAACATTGTACCGTTGCATTGACATCAACTAACATGTGGAACCTATATATGTGGGTGTGTTTATGAAGTTCTGATGCAATTCTGTCATGTTTTTCAACAGACTTTTAAGTTTGGCTCAACAGTGATATGTTACATGTATTATTTGATCATTCAAATTCCAAAGAAACAAACATTGCCAAAGCCAGCAATCCAATCCAGCATAGTATTTTTTCGTTGCGTGTTTACCGTTACGTACGAAGAACAGCGACATAGGAGCATATAAACAGAATTCAACGACATAGCTGACGTAGAGAGCCGTCGCGTGTAGGAGACATGAAATAAGTCCACGTAGACATCTGCTTTGTGTTTTGATTTGATTTTTGATTTCTGAAGTGATCTTACGGTTTATGCTACTAAAAAAGGTTTCATTTATTGCAGAGATAACTAGAGAATTTTGGCACCGGGGGCCAGCCGGTCGGGCGGGGGCGCCAATCTGAATCCACGGTGGTGCGGATGGTGCCCTTGCTGGACCTACCGGGAAGCCCCGCCGGGCCTGCGCAGTGAGGCTTCTTTTGGGGGCCGCGAGAGTTCAGTTTTGTTGTGATTCTTCGGACGGGTGAGTTTTGATTGTTTTGCCTTGTAAACATAAGGTCTGAGCTCATTGTGCTTTCTTGCCTCCGTGTGGAACCCGTAGACTGTCGGAGTGCTATAGAATTAACAATTTAGGTAACGAATTACTGTGACAGAATAAAATCACATCGTGTACCGGATTTAAGGTCTTGAATCTGGCTTAATTTTTTTTTTTGCAAGCTGATGGCCATCAGGATGGACGTCAGTTCAGCGCTTGCTTCACCCGAATACGTTTTATATTCTGGCAAGAACTCCAGGTGCAAGAATGTCATGATTTCTTTTACAGGAACAGAGGAGATCAATGAAGTTTCACTTCTCGGAAAAGGCTACTGCAAATTTGATTACATAAATTCCCTGATTTCCATAAGTACGTCTTGTTTCCATCACAAAAGCGTACTGGCGTTTAGTGTACGGCCCTGAACAATAAGCAAAACTAAGTTGAGGAAGGAAACACACGTTTCTCGGGTTCGACGCCGTACTTTTGAGCGTGTGTCGCAGAGACAACTGATGGCGATGTGATTGAGTGGGTAAGCTTAATGAGTTGTGCTGAATAAACTACCACTGGCGATAGTTGACAACTAGAGATTGTACATGTGTAGTAGGATCCATCTTACCAGTTTTGTTGCAGTGAACTGTGTTGTGATAAATTTCTACAAGTTTAGGCCGACTATTTTCACCTGCTCCCATTGGTTTTGTAGTGGCTAAAATTGACTGGGCTTATAGAGTGCAAACTGTAATTGTTGACAAAGGTACCGGTGCAGTATTTCAAAGAGGGAGTCTATTTCTTAACGATGAGACAAGCAATTGAATGCTCAGGAATGGGTTTGCGGGTACACCATGGAATCAATCTCTTTGGACGACGTGTAGTTCTTATAGAACTCGACGTTCCGGCCAGTGTGCTCTGGCCGTCCTCAGAAGAGTTTGCTGGACTGGAGTGGATAGCTGGTTATAAAGGTAATCCGGAAGGGGTGAAGCATGGAACAGGATTCGCAAGTTGTATGACTCAGTGTGTACGGTGTTGCATGAAGGTGCTGGATCCTGGAATTGGCGGGAAACCTTGGGTTCAGGTATAGGGGACCCATATGCCGGGGGGTTGGCCAATCTCCCATGTTTCATCCACCAAGAAAAGCTTCAAATCTTACTTATCTTCGATCTATGGAGAGCCTACAGTTCGACGAGTTAGGACCTTTCAGCGGAATTCCATCCGACGATCAAGATACATCAACAACCTAACTTTCCTCAAACGCTGCCGAGACTCGAAAAAAGTTCCACCAGGCCTCAAGCTCCACGATCCAGTTTGAAGCCACCGCTCCCTCTGCATCTTAAAGTCAACCAGCCGAGCCCTCCTAAGAGAACGCATTCAACACACAAGATGCACCCTCAGCCACCTGGACAAGGACATGCCATTGAAGCCGCCCTCCAGTCGACCCTATACCAGCAGGATTGCGTCAAGATCTCGTCCCTCATCCAATCCTCCAGCCGCCACGCGTTCACCACCTCCCGCAACAAACAACTCCAGAAAATTCGCCTTTCCCATGCCTCATCTACCTTGCAAAGCTTCAAATCTCAATTAAATGCTACACTTCGATGACAGCAACTTAAAAAAAATGAATGTTTGTACACAAATATCGATAAAAGAATATTAATGGACGAGGTTAATTAAAAATTACACTTCTACATGTTGGATAATCAATACGCCTAGAGTCGCCGATGGTTACTTTTGTTTTCGTGATTTTCTTTGGTTAAACATTTAACACATAATACACCTTCAAGTTGAACAAGGAAACATATTGCAATTCCGGTTAATAAAGACAATCCTGGCAAATAAAGTCAACATCCGTAGGGCGCATGTCACAAAGGTACTGAAAGAAAGTATACACTTACCAAAAAATTAACCGGGGTGGTTCTCAGAGTCGAGTAATTGCATTCACTGCACGTAAATGACGGTTTAGTACTAAAAGCGTAAGGTACAGAAGTGCTTCATAATATTTTAGTGTGGTTTGACACTGCAACATTGTTGATTGAATTATCGAGTGGCTGCACTCACTTTATGTTGCGGTAGTGACCCATGTCTTCAGCCACCCTGTTTTTTTTTAACATGTCCCTGAATGAACCTTGCACTACACATATTCACCTTTCTTCGTGAGCCGCCATGAAGTGATATAACAAAACTGGTTGTAGTGATAGTCTTACCGAATGAGAATATGCCACCCCGACCATACCAGCCAACGCGTTGTACAAGTGTTTCATGAGTTAAGTACAGAGCTGAATTAATGAGCTGCGCAGACAGGACACCAATAGAGAAGTAGTAGGGGTGAGCCGATTTGAAATCAGTGACTCCAGTTCAGTGTCTTCACAAATCAGACCTCATAACTCCATCCAGATCACGGTAATTCCCCGGGACTTTCTCACTTCTCGGGAAACCAGCTCAGCCCCCGAACACTCCGGAGAAAAATGAGATTAAATTGAAAAAAAAAAAACCTATATATAAAATAGGTATGAAGAGAGAAACCAAATCACAACGCCGCCTAGTATTATCAGAATTTAGGCGATTGAAAAAAAAAACCTTTTCTGGCAGATTTGGCTAAACGGCATGACATTCCATTACCGGCACCAAGGCGCAAACAACACACAAAGTCGGAGCTCGTAAAGGCGAATCAAGCAAGCCAACGGCAATTTAGAAAGCTCACTTGCCAGTCAGATTGCCAGCTTTTAAAAATAGCTCACGACAATGACATAGAATTTACGGCCACGGGGACAAAAGGAAAAATATTTCGAAAGGACTTGATTACCGCGATAAAGGCGTACATTAAGCCGCAAGGGATTGAAGAAGTGGACATTCGGGGAATTAGGCGATTCAAAGACAATTATAGAAATTGTGAACTGATACCTAATTTCTATGCAGACGCTCTGATGCACTTTTTAAAGTTTTAGAGAAAGTATCTCGAAGACAAGGCACTTGCCGAGTTTAAGGAAATCGGCTCATACAAATTACAAACCGCCATTAAGATTTAGTTCAAAATGGAAAACCTGGAGCTGAAACTTAACTCGGCATTTTCACGTTTACGAGCCAAAATAACGCGGTCTTTTCTAAAAATGAAATCAAAGAAGTTTTGAGCCAGCAAATCGCACAGCATCTAGAAGACGTGGAAGCTCACGAGCAAAGAGGCTCTGGTTGGGTGTTTGATACCGAGAAAGAAGGCACTTACGTGCTTTACAAGACTAAGTGCGAAAAAGAGCCCATGAATTCTCTTTATTTCACCAAAGGCGAAACGAGTCATTATTGTTGGATTAAAAACTGTTTTCGTTTGATGGGTGACATTGATAAACACGGCAATAAGAAATATTGGTGTTTCAAATGTCTGTCACATTTTTAAATTGAAGAAAGACTCAGCAGGTATCGAGAAGATTGCCAAGGAATTAACACAGCGGCGTGCAAGGTCGAAATTCTCACCAAAGGCAAAAATATTCTCAAATTTGAAAATTATAAAAACAAGCAGGACGCCCCTTTTATAATTTACACGGATTTCGAGTCTGTTTTAGAAAACGTACCACCAAAAGAATTAAACACGGTTTAAACACAAATCCATAAGCCGTGTGCTATTCTTACGCGGTTGTCAAATGCGGCGGGATTTGCACTGGGCGCGAGACTTACGGAGGTCAAGACGCGGCATTGAAATTTGTGCAGTCGCTTTCCAGAGAAGTCGACAAGATTAACGAAACATTTGAAAATCTTAAGCCAATTATTTGGCCCAACGAATTGCAAAAGATGATGAAAATTGCCACAGATGCTGGAATTGTGAAAAGCTTATCGGCAAGACAGAAGAATCTCAATGCCAATGCCCGATTCCAAACGAGCCAAAAACAAAGGACGAAAAAGCTGCCTTTAGTTCAGTCAAAGAATCCAATGGTTTCAGGGATTACATTTGTATGACCTGCGCAAAGCCAATCAATAAATCTCGCACAGTCAGAGATCACTGCCACGTGACGGGAAAGTACCGAGGCCCAGAGCACACCAGTTGCAATTAAAAGTTAAGAGTCGTCCCAAATCAAACGCCCATTCCAGTGATTTTACACAACTCGGAAAATACGACGCACATCTAATTATGCAAGGCGCACAAGCGTTTAACGGCGGTAAAATTAAAGTCATCGCTAAAAATACCGAAAATTATATCTCCTTTAGCTTTGATCAACTTAGGTTCCTAGACTCGTCTCATTTCATGGCTGCGTCACTCGATCGACTGGTTAAGAATTGTTCACCCAACGATTTCAACCAACTTCGGGGAAAGATTCCCCCAAAACACGGATTTATTATTGGAAAAAGGCATTTACCCTTACGAATATATCGACTCCTTTGACCGATTCCAGGAGACGAGCCTAGCGCGAAGAGACGTCTTTTATAGATCTCTGAAGCAGTCCACCGTGACCGAGAGAGAACATGCCCGAGCACAAACAGTATGGCACACGTTTAACTGTAAACACCTAGGCGACAACCACGACATATACGCGGAAACAGACGTTTTGTTGCTAGCGGGTGTATTTGAGAACTTCCGCACAGTCTGTAAACAGACCTACGGCCTTGACCCGGCTAACTATTACACGTCACCGGGTTTATCGTGGGATGCATTGCCAAAGGACTCCGGCATCGAGTTGGAACTATTAACAAATATCGACAGGCACTTATTCTTTGAAAGGGCTAAACGAGGCGGCATTCTAGCGTAGGTGTAAAGCGCCATGCAAAGGCAAACAATCTGGGCCTACCAGACTACGACCCAAATAAGCCAGAGTCACACATCATGTATTTAGACGCAAATAATTAATACAGGTGGGCCATGAGTCAGCCTTTGCCTTTTAAACTTTTCAGGTGGATTCAGGACGTGACTAAATTTACCCCAAAGTACATCTAAAAATTTTATTCAAGAGTGTCAAAAGGTTATATACTTGAGGTGACGTTAGATTATCCAAGGCATTTGCGCGATAAGCATAACGACTTCCCACTAGCGCCTGAAAATATATCGATCCAGAATGAATGGCTGTCAGAATATCAAGAAGAATTAATGGCAAACGGCGAGCGAATTACTTTAATAGATAAACTTGTATCGATTTTAAACACTAAAAATAAATACGTTGTATCGAACTTTACAAAAATATTGAGAACTCGGTTTAGAATTAAAACCGGTGCATCGTGTCATGTCATTTAAACAGGCGCCTTGGATGAAAAGTTATATCGATAAAAATACCGAGTTACGCAAATTAGCCATGTCTGATTTTGAGAAGGATTTCTCTATTAAATTGATGAATAACTCGGTTTTTGGTAAAACTATGGAAAACGTGAGCTATCGAATGGACGGGCATTTATTGAGAGACTCGCAAGACGCTGAAAAATACCAGAAGCTTCCTTTTAAACCGATCTATAAGGCGACTACGCCGTTTAAGGAGTGTGAGCTTTCATTTCGTTGGTTGCACCACGAAGTGACCTATCTCATACTTTATCGTTTCGAGGAAAACGCGTCCAAATTTCTGATTTGTTTGTCGTAATAATTTCTTATAAATATGTCAAAAACGCTGGGCCAGTGTATACTGTATGTTAAAGAAGGATTGTCAATGAGAATTTTATTTTTTTTTACTTAAAATTTAGTTTATTTTAGCTGGAATTAACAAAATAAAAACTGCATGTCTTTTCGTGAAAGTGCACATCTCATATTTCCATAAAACAACGCATGACCCATTCCGATGTGTCACTTCGTGAGACTGCAAGTGTGAATTCTCGACAAATTTTTGTCACGTTAGTGTTTTTGCGCATGCGTAGTTTGTTTTATTACATTCGTTCAATATTAGTGCACGCTCTTCAGATCTTTGTACCAAGTTTTAAAGTTTATTTCCAAATTTGTCTTGGTTGGATAAATTCCTAACTGGATTAATGGGCTGTGTATGATGAGAGTGCTTTGCTCTAGTTTGAATTTGAATCGTTTTTGGTTGTGTTTTATTTTTCTGAATTACATTTTCATGTAATTCATTAACTTTAGTCCTTCATTAACTTTAGCCTGCTGTTACGTGCGACTAATTCCAAAGAACCGAAATGAAGTAGGGCACGACAGAGACGAACATGACAGCATAGAAAAGGAAACCAGCAACTATATTTACAGAAATTTATTCAGTTTACATGCTAAAAATAATAAAGTAGTTTAAATCTAGGTTTCTATTTGTTTATACAATTGAATAATTACTTATAGGTTGTTGAGGACTTGATTGGGTGCATGCTGTCAAGATGACTATTGGTATTCTGTTGCGGAGGGGCAACTCAGGCACAGCTGGCTGAAGCACTGGCTGCTGCACCGGGTTGGTCTGATCCAGGTCATCTGGGGTGAGCCTCGGAACCGGTCTGGTCCCAGGCCATCTAGGTAGAGCCTCAGAACCAGTCTGGTCCTAGGCCATCTAGGAAGAGCCGCAAAACCGGTTGGTTTGGGCCATCAACTTGAAGGAGAGAGAACAGCGGAGACTCGCTGTCTCAACATGCAATGCATGTGGCAAGCCGTCAACTTGAAGGAGAAGAGTATAGCGGTGACTCGCTGTATCTGCAGGCAGTTTATAGCAGTAGGGCACATTGGACATTGGCTGGAGTGAAGGTTGGCGACACCCATCAGTTGAAAAAAAAAAAAGAACAGAGCCCCTGGCTGAACGGGTGGCTGTGGTGTGATGAGTGCACCCAAGCATGGTACAACCCACTTCTTAAATACATGTGCACCCAGCAAATAATAAAAGAGCCATTACATAACCAGTCAGCCCACTGGGCAACATCTTAACAAAAGAATACTGGGTACAAAGCACAATACATGGGGTCTGCTGCAGAAGAGGTTAGACTTAAAATACCACAAATGTCTAAAGAAAGAATTAAATCAAAAACAGCAGGCGAATCATAAAGGAAGAAATGTCCCATCTGTAACACTGCTATTAATTCCAGTTTCTGTCCGAAAAGATCTGATAGTGTGGGGGGATGTAACTACTAACAAACATCGTTGTACAGCTGAGAAAAATTATTTTTCAAATTACTGCCTTCCTCCACTAACGACCCAAGTTATAAATTTTATCAAAACACACACAAAGTTACATTAACTTGAGAAACGAATTTTGTAGACCTGCCCATTTTTTCTAGTGTTTATTTTAATTCTAGACAGTTAAAAATTATACCTGAATCAACTTTGATGTTGATAATTAAAATAAAAAAGTACAAAACAAAAGACGGTTATTCACCAAAAATTCATTACACATTAGTTGTTTAATCACAAAGCAGTTTTAACCGGTTCATTTCAGCCCATTCAATTTAGGTATTATAAACAGCATAAAAGACTGTTTTTAATAGTGAAAACAGCCAACTTCGTCTTCTTAATCACTAAATTATGGCAATTCATTATTCTTCAGGTATAAATTTCTTGGATTTATCCACGCAACTTCCAAGACATTAAGAACGAATCAAAACATAGCCTTTTTACATGAACTTGTACCAAAACCATACATGACGTCTACAAGAACACACTGCTGTTAATGCGGCAAATTCCTGTAGAAGGCAATGTGGTCCTGGTAGCTGATTACTGGAGTGGGCCCTGAACACAGAGACATTAGTTCATTGTATTTACCTTCAGAGAGTTTAGGTGGTGCTTTTGCATATGCCTCAGGTGGAATGAACAAAGGCCCGCAAAGTGGTCGTCTTAAGCCCTCTTCAATGTCAATCGTATAAAAGGTGTCTTCCAAGTGCGAGCACTTGATCATGATCTTTTTTGGCAGATTTTTACACACTCGCACTTGCATTTCCTTTTTCCAATCTGCGAACTCTCAGAATATGCATTCTCTCCCCTAACTCCTTCCAATCATGTATATCACTACTTTGCACCTCTGTGACATGGTAGTGTCCGGGGAACTTTCTAGCAGCTTGGATTAGAGTAGCTTGATGGCAAGGAACAAAAACACCCCCAGTGCCTCTTAAGCATCGCTCAGTTGTACTATGGACAGCGTCCCCCTCACTTTGGCCATGGTTGGTCTCAAAAAAGTACAAAGTGACCTGTCTTACAGACGAAGAATTTGCCAAGAAGTAAAGTAAAGTAACATGGCTGGCAAAATGGAGTTTTTATTTTGCCCTATGCATCCATCGCTAAACAGGGCAACCTCCTTTTTCCCTTGAAGGTCTAAGATCGACAGATATTGGTACAGATTAGAAGCAATTTCATTAGCTCCTCGCTTATCAATTCCCTCACGATGAAGGTAACAGTATCCTGCTTTACTGCTCAATTCATATACTGTAAAATTATAGCAAGCTAGTCTACGCTTATAGAAGAGTGCCCCCCTTTCAGACTTTGGCAAGTATATTACTTGCTGAAGATCATATACCGATGCTTGGAACTTATCTGGGTTTGCAGTAGCTTGTTTTTTCTTTTCTTTTTTTATCTCACGGACGGCTCATTTTTCTTTCATGTGCCTCTCGTATTGGCTGTTCAGCACACATATTCCGCACAGGTCTTTTTTTTGGCTTATGGAATCTGAGCTTCAAGTCCCGAAGCACCTTTCCATAAAAACTTCTGGAAGCTTTTCTCTTGGGGTGCTCTGCCACATACAAATCATACATTTTATTAACGATTAAATCCGAGGATAGGTACTGAAAAGAGGAACTGGCACGACAGTAGTGTGACTCTGTTTTAGGAAACCGCTGCATGTGTCTCTCAACTTCATCTCTTAGTTGTTTGTCTTTCAGTTTTGTCTGCCTGCCCCCTTGTCCTTCTTTCCCCATCGTGGAACACTGGCCAAGCTTTTTCACAACTGTCCTAACCTGTCGATCGGAAATTCCTACTGTATTAAGGAACACCAGTTTACAAACCTTGCACTTACTGTCACTTTTAGGCAAGTAAAAACGTGTAAATCTCTTCTTACGTGTGCTTTCTTTTGGAGATTCAACTTTTATTTGTCTTGCAATCCACTCTCTATGAGCTTGAAGATTACTCAGAGAGAAAAATGCATTTCTGATAGACTGACAATCTTCATCAGAAAACTAATTACACTGAAGTTTTCGGGCCATACAGAACAAAGATTAACATTTCGGTTTTTGTTTTGTTCTGCGCCCCGCAACATGCTTGTTTGATTTTTCAGTATGATGGGATTCGCCCCTGTTTTTCTTTTGTTTGACAGTTTTATTCCTTGCATGGTTAGTCTCTGTTGCAATTGAGGGTTCTAATTGTATTTTAATTTGCAGTTCCCCGTCCACAATGAAATCTTCTGGTTGTAATTGAACCTGTTGTGGTGGTGCATTTTTGACACCGTGGTCATTAGTGCAAATTATTGTTTCTTCTGACAGGGAAGTAGAAGAAAAACCGTCACATCTTTCATCTATTCTGGGAAGCAGATCTTCCACAGTCTCACTGTTGGCATCTAACACATTGGTACAAGCTTTCATTCCAGCATGACCCTCAAACATATCAAAGAGAAAACTTATGGGTACATCATCTGAGTTTGCCACTGGTGTCCTCGTCGTCATTTTCTGAAATCATGTAAAATACATAAATTCGGCATCATTTGATACATGAACTAAAACTCCCCAGTGATCAAGCCCAATTAATTATAAGTATCCATTAATTTATCACATTCACAAGTGAAACCAACAAAAGATTGGAAGGACACTAATCAGTATCTTCATGCCACTGTAGATATCATATATGTCATATAGACAAATGAAAAGTAATACAAGTGAAAAAGTTACTTTAATAGGATTTAGACTCACCTGTACTCTCCTCAAAATTCAGAACCCGGCCCCTCCACCATG